AAAAGTGCGTCTTATACACCGAAAAATACAGCACTTTCTTTTTTTAATGCTTTGAGAAAATATTTTTGCTGGCCTAATGTCCTGGCTTTTACCAATGCTTTTAAAGGTCATTACGTTAAAGTTCTTTCACAGCACAGAACAGAAGCCAATCCATCAACAAAGAGATTAAAAGTAATACACCTTACTGTGAATTTTCCTTGTTTTGGAGTCTTCTCATCTTTATTAGCTGTCATGGTCCCAACTGAAGAAGAAGACTTATGTCAAATAATCTTGTCACAAAATATACAGACACTGCTTTCAATAACCATTAATGCATTTACAGAACACAATAAAAATATGCCAACCACTAAAGGGATGTAACATTTTTCTTAAGGAGCATACCTAATACTACTTAAAAATTTACAATACATAGCATAATGAATTATAATGTCAAATAATGATATGAATAATTATTTCACTCAACTTAATCATGACACAACTCCTATTGTAACCAGCTCCCTCAAAACAGTTGCACTCATTAATCAGTTTGAGATCGGTCAGAATACCTTCACCATATATCATTGGAGGTGAGTATCTATCAGAAATACATTTTAAGTGTAGGGAAAACATCCAACTTCTGATATGACGTCTTACCTTCACTCACAAAATAGCTAGAATCCCACACTGAATTGGTGGAGGGCTGGTGAAAAGGAGGTGTGGAACTAAAAGAGAAGACATCACACCTCAGCAGGAGACCACATCACATCTGGTCCAAGTATACTCTTTGGTCTTTTATGACTGTGTCGCAAATATAAAAGGCAGAAAAACATGAAGGTATCCCAGAATATGTACAACCGAGTAATGAGACCCCTGTGAGTTGAGTGGCTAGGGTGTAACAGACCATAGTTGTAGTTCAACCTCATTCAACACCAGGCAGTATCTGGAATGTTGCATCAAATCCACGATAGGTAGAGAATCATCTACTTCTTCACCTCAAAACAGGAATTGGTAGGGAAGACAAGCTTTCATACTAAAATCCTTCTCCACTTGCACGTTTAAAATACAACCAACACCAGATCTGCCAGGAACTGACATCCAGTGGATGGTGGAATGCAAAAACCTGGCAGTAACGGGTGTGGTGTTTCCAGTCCTCAGTAGGAGGAGGATACCTGGCTGTGCACAAGCGGGAAAATGTGTTGCATCCAGCTACAATCAACACCACGTACACAGGGAACAGACATCCAGCAGATGGTAGGAAGTAGGACCCCAAACCTGGGGTGCATCTCCAGTCCAAACCTGGTAGCAGTAGGCATCTGTCATCCACAGTAGGAGGAAGGATACTGGCCAGCACACATGAGGACTTACTTAGCTGGACCATCTCCAACCAACACCAGACTCACGGGAATATACATCCAGAGAATGAAAGGTAGAAGGAACGTCTCAGACTGAGGGACAAACTGCAATTATATATATATATATATATATTCAGTGACTATGGCAGAGTGCTTCAACTATCAGGTCCGTGGTAAGAAATGGGATATGCCATCAACACCTGCACATTGGTCACTGCCTACTACTCTCAACT